GGGGGTGCAGAGAGTCACCCTGGCATCCTTCCACCTGCAAAGAGAAGCTACCAACCGGCTTGCTCCTATGGAAGGAGCATCTCAGCCAACCTGGTTGCCAACACTGGGGAAAGGACATGGGGCAAGCCATCTTGCCAGAGATGGGGGAACGTTTTTGCAAGTGACGTTTCAGCTCCAGGAAGCAAAGTACGATTTGGTTTCTGCTATGACCCTTTGCTTCCCAAGTGCTTAATCTCTAGCACTTGGAGCTCTGTTCTTTGACCGTAAACTTATTCTTTGCTTTCACTCAGTGAAACATTTTTAAGTGCCATGGGTTAAGGAGAGTGGGAAGCCTGACTTGAAGCTTACAAGCGGGTCGGGATGGCTCTCTAGCCCAGGTGGTCTCCTAGGAGACGGGAAACCCACATTCAAATCCCTTCTTCACAGAAAGCAGAGGGGTGAAATGAACTGTGGGGCCCCATGCCCCAGATGGGGGAGGAGGGAGGGATAGCTCAGTGGTTTGAGCATTGGCCTGCTAAACCCAGAGTTGTCAGTTCAATCCTTGAGGGAACCACTTAGAGATCTGGGGCAAAATCAGTACTTGGTCCTGCTAGTGAAGGCAGGGGGCTGGACTCAATGACCTTTCAAGGTCCCTTCCAGTTCTAGGAGATAGGATATCTCCATTAATAAATTAAAGATGAGAGTGTTAACCACTGGGCTAATGGGGAGCTGCCCTACCAGCCTTCCATGAGGAACAAAATGTTTTAAGTGTCTAACACTAGGAGATCTCTTATAGAGGAGACTCATGCATGGAAATACACCTCTACCTCAATATAACACTGTCCTCAGGAGCCAAAAAATCTTACTGCATTATAGGTGAAACCGTGTTATATTGAACTTGCTTTGATCCACCGGAGTGCGCAGCCCCGCCCCCCCAGAGCTCTGCTTTACCGCGTTATATCTGAATTCGTGTTATATTGGGTAGCGTTATATCGAGGTAGAGGTGTAGGTGCCTAAGATGCTCTGAGTGGCAGGGCGTAGGCCACCCCCTTGTGCTCAGCATTTCCTATTACAGTAGCACCTTGGAGTGCCAATCACGGATCAGGGCCCCACTCTGCTAAGTACTGTACATTGTTATTTATTAGGTGTATTACGGTAGAGCCCATGGACCCCATATTTGGGCTGGGACCCATTGTGCTAGGTGCTGTGCATTGTTTATTGGGTGTATTACGGTAGCACCTAGGAGCCCCAGACATGGGCCAGGACCCCCTTGTGTTAGGCGCTGTAGATTGTCATTTATTAGGTGTATTATGGTAAAACCAACCTAAGCCTTCCCTTTATCAGCCCTCAGCATGTCAACACTGGGCTGGCACAGCATCAGTTTGGGGCACCGAATGTGGGCCAGTTACTCAGGCTCCTTCCCAATACTGAGACCTGCGTGGCCCGTCTGGGTACAGCCAACATTCACAAGGAGCAAGGTTGCCAGGTCTCCTGACAGCTGGGAATTTTCTCCAAGCCCCAGCAGCTGGAGTCCTGTGACTGGCCCAGAATCAAAACAAACCCTTGTGATTCCAAAAGAAAAGCTTGAAAACATGACCTACATTCCCCTTAAAAGCCCAGAGAAGGGATGATTCAATGCTGTGCATCATCCAGGACTGGAGGACACCTGCTCCACCCCCCAGCTACCCATGTGACTCTCAACACAGCATTCAGTCTCGCTCTCTGCCTCAGTTTCCCTATCAGCACAATGGATAGAGTGCCTGGGAATTCCCCCCCCCCCCCCCCCGTAATATGCCAAGGCATCAAAACTGAAACGGTTCCCGGGACAGGATCTGTTTGGGTGAAGTTCCCAATGTCAAAAAAGTTGGGGGGGGGGAAGGTGTGACATTGTCAAAACATCCCGGCATGACGTGTTGTGACTGAATTTATATCTATTTTAAAAATGGGGTTAAAAGGGCAAAAGCAAAACGAAAGCTTTAGAAATGTTCGCAATGAAATGTTTCAACTGACCCAAATCAAGACGGTTTTTGTTTTCTTTTGTCGAATGGGAACATCTTTCAAGATTTTTGGGACGGGAAAACTTTTCAAAATCTTGAGCATTCTCCTGGAATGGGAAAATCGTTCCCTGCCCCACCCTAACTACGGTGACTCGACTTCCCAATATTATTGAGGCTGTCCCGATATTAGGGGCTTTGTCTTATATAGGCAAATATGCCCCCCACCCTGAAAAAAAAGTGTCCCGATTTTTCACACTTGCTATTAGGTCACTCTGAAGGGAGTAACAGCCCCTACCTTCTTCTCAGGGGTGCGTAAGGATAAATATATTAAAGAATGTGAGGCACCCAGATACTAAGGTGATGGAGGCCAGATAAGGACCTAAAATGAACAGATGGAAACCTGAAGGCAAATAAAGAGAATCCAACACTTTTTTTTTTTTAAAGCAATCTCACTATCTAGTCCAGCATCTCGTCACTGACAGTGCTCAGTGGAAGGTGTGAGACCCCCTACAGTGGCTGATGGGAGATAATCTGTCCCCCTCCCAGAAAGCACACCTTAATCATCACCCTGCTCTCTTCTAATTAGAGATGAACTCAAATCCTGAAAGAGGAAGTTTGATAGTCCCGGCCACTAACTTGTTTGCAATCACGTACTGTGATCATTCCGGTTATTCCACTCCCTTCTTGAATCTTGATATGGTTTTGGTTTCAACAGCTTCCTGTGGCAGTGGGTTCCACGGGTCAATTACACGTTGCGTGAAAAATACAAGTCCTTTTATGGGCATTGAACTCCTAGATTCATCGGCTGCCTCTCCATTGCAATTCAAACCCAGTGGCATTGACGTCTGAGAGCCCGGATCATTGGATTCGAGCTCACAGGGCTTGGGCTGTGGGGCTAAAAAGAGCAACACAGATGTTCCCACTTGGGATGGAGCCCTGGCTCTGAGACCCACCCCCCACGTGGGGTTTCCCAGCTCAAACTCCAGCCCGAGCCTGAACGTCTACATTGCTGTTTTTAGCCCCACAGCCCAAGCCCTGTGAGCCCGAGTCAGCTGACCCGGGCCAGCCGCGGCCGTACTGGGGGTCTTTCATCACAATGTAGGTGTACTCATATATTCTAAGGCCAGATGGGGCTTAGAGATCATCTAGTCTGGCCTCCTGTCTAACGCAGGTCGGAGAAATTCACTCAGTTCCCCCTGCATTGAGTCCAATCCATAGTCAGCATTTTCCCAGGATGGCATCCGGGCTTCACTGGGAGCCATCAAACAATGGAGAATCCATCAGGGAATGGCTAATCAACCCGCACTGTAAAAAATTGGTGCCTTGTTCCTAACCGGAATGTGTCTGTCTTTAATTTCCAGCCACTAGTTCTTGTTCTCGTTCGTTCCCGAGCCCATCAGTATCCGGGATTTGCTTCCTGTGACGATACGTACACGCCGTGACCAAGCCACCTCTCGCTCTGCTTTTGGATCAGTGGAACAGACCTAGCTCTTTCCATCGCGCATGGTGTAGGCGGGGTTTACGCTAAAAAACGAGGCTGACCCAGTTATGTCGTTCAGGGATGTGTGAAAAATCCACACCCCCGAGTGATGTAGTGAAGCCAACTTAACCCTCCATGTAGACAGCTCTAGGTTGATGGAAGAATTCTCCCATCTACCTAGCCCCTGCCTTTCAGGGAGATGGATTGACTACGCCAATGGGCCAACCCCTCGCTGGAGCGTTTCAAGTGTAGACAAGCCCTCAGGCCCGACTTCCCCCCAGTCCCTGTGGCTCATCTCCCCCACCCCGATTCTCCATCTCCTTTTTTTCCCTCTTGTCCTCGTGCGAGGAGACAGAGCAGAAGGTTCAGGGAGTCGCTTTCGGCAACAGAGAAGATGCCATTCCAAGGGCTAATTCCCGCCAGGTTCCCCTGCAGAGGACAGAGGCAGGAACAAAGACCGGCTTGCTCCCGCAACTCCAACCTGCTGAAGCCAGGAGCATGAGGGTGGAGGGAGCCATCTGGCTGCCAAATCATGGGGCAGCTCTCCAGATACAGCAATCACGTTGACTCACAGGGACAGCCCATTTCCCTCGCATAAAAAGTGAGCCATCCCAGAGGATCCTTAGCTTTGTCCAAGACACAACTGCCGGAGCCTCTTCTGCTCCCGAGGGCCCCCCGCCAGGAGCTACAGGTGAAGCAGGGCCAGTCTAACCCCTGTTGTTGGGATGCCTGGCTGGGGGAGGGAAGGGGTGTCATGGTGGAAAGGAGATAGTTGTGGTTTGGAGAGTGATGTAGGATGGTGGCTTGGGGCATCTCACCATTATTGGGGTGATTATGGGCTGCCGGGGCATCACTTTATTATTGGGGGGACAATGGGGTACTAGGGGGCATCTCTCAGGTTTCAGGGGACAATAGGGTAACACAGGGGTATTGCTTTGTTATTGGGGGTGATAATGGGGTGCCAAGGTGCATTGCTGTATTATTGGGAGGATTATACGGGATGGCAAGGGGCACTCAATGTAGACGGATGGCTTGGCAGTTCGACCGCTCAGCTGATACTCTGAAGACATGGCTTCTAATCTCTGGTCTGTCACTGCATCCCTGTAGGACCTTGGCCTGTAGGATCTGTGCCTCAGTTTTGCCATTTGTACAATGGGGATAGTAGCCCTGCCCTGCTCACCAACAAATTGTGGGGATAAATAGGGTAAAGATTGGGAGGTGCTCGGATACTGCCGTAATGGGGGCCAGATAGCACCTTAGATCTATTAATTTCTCTGTTATTAAGCTGGTTACGAGGGTTTCGCCCTCTCTGTTATTGGAGTAACACGTTAGAAGGGGAACTAGTAGGAGAGGGGTGAGCTCAGTCCAGCTCATGGAAATTTTTGTGATCTGGCTTGAGATTTAGTTCTCCCAACAGATCAGATCTTTTCATGGAACATGCCCCTGGGGGCGACTGGGACCGGGCGGAAGTGGAAGAAGGAGCTGAGTTGGGGGACAGTGGGCCCCCATTGCCAATAGACGATCACAGTGCGTTTCCCCTCCCCATGTCGGGCAGTGCTGTCATCTCCTGCTACAGGCAGGGCACCCGAGGTGCAGAGAAACCGCTTGCTCATGGGAGCCTGTGGAAGAAGACGGACTCAAGTGCGGCTTTCCTGAATCCTAAGCGTGCACCTTCCCTGCGAGGTAACCATCCTCCTCAAGACGCCCGTGGCCAATTATTCCCTTTCGATCTCTTTCCCTGCAGTAAAGCCAGTCACTCCACCAACCGTATCCATCACCACAACCGCCATGGAGCTGCTAATCATCGCGATGCTGGTAATCGGGGCAGCCGCAGGTAAGAAAAAGAGTCAAGCAAGAAGTCAAAGTTGGGTTGGGTGAGAAGGTTCTGCAGTTTCACCACAGGGCCTTCCAGGATGGTCTCAGAGAAGTTGCTTAGGACAGGTTGCTGCTAATGAAGAGCGAAGTTCCCGGCACTCCCATTATCAATTCCATGGGTTGCGAAAGGGAATTCATATGTTCAGGCCTCATCTCTGATTAGTCTTTATTGTTTGTAGAGTAGGCAGGAAGCCATGATTTCACAATCTGTTTGCGTCCTGAATGAGCACAGAAGGAAAGAATTTTGAAATTTCCCAAAAAATGAAATGTTTTTTGGGAAAAAAAATAAATCTGTTTCACAGAGATTTCGATGCCTTTAAATTTAAAGCATATATCAAAATATATCACTTTTATAGATCATCATTTCTAATAGAATGTTAATTCTGTTAAGAAAAACATGTAAACAACAAATTATTTTTAAAAAATCAAAATGTTTTGTCTGATAATGTCCAATGGCCTGGCCAGATTGCCTGTCCCATGAAGCACCATGCACCACTTGGTGAGGAGAAGTTAAGAGATTATGGGAGTCTCTGGCTGTGAGCATCATGGGAAATGTAGTTTGATTGTGGAGCCCAGTCCATACAGGAGACTGCTTTGTTTTAAACTTTTTTTTTTTAAAGAATTTGCATCACAATCAACACATTCTCACAGAAATTTTCAACTTTGACACAATGACATTTTCTGATGGGAAGAAAAAAGTTTTACAGTTTTAATTATTTGTATTGTGGTAAAGCCTAGAAATGCCAGTCACTGACCAACCCCCTGCTCTCCTGAGCATATGTAAATTGTGCTTTCCACAGATTTATAATTTAACCAAGTCTGGGGGAATTTTCATGAGAACAGCAAAAGGCACCTCCCTGACCCCAGGGCTATTCCTTTGCAAAATTTCAAGTCCCTGCTACCAAGGCACTAGAGCACTTCAAAAAGTGGTTGGAGAATTGTTTGAACATTGTAAAAATGACCTATCATTCCCGAACCTCATTCTTGGAAATGGCTGAACTGGGTCTTTCCAAAGCACGTTCAGAGAGCAAGTGTGGAAAATCTCAACCTGAAGAGTTAAAGTTTGGCAAAGCTTTCAGCCACTGAAAACAGTGTTTGATCATGGAAAGTGTTAGGTAACCTTGACTCTAGGTGTTGATACCAACACCGCCTACAATAGTTTATCATCCCTACCTACCTGAGCAAGTTGGTTTTATATGTAAATTCTGCCCACCCAAATATTCAGCTCAAGCAAATTGTACACATCATTAGCAGAGAACACCAGCTAGCCTGCGACTGTCCAATCCAAAAACCAAATTATTTCTGCTCCCCACACCCCAAAAAATTGGACTTTTAAAAAAAAAAAAAAAAACCCCAACCCTGAAACATTCTGATCTGGAAATGCTGCTGCAATGCTTCATGGGAGTTGTAGTATGGGGGCTTGAAGCCCCCATCCTTCTCTATTGGCCAACCTCTGTGGTCGGACTTCATCTCCCAGTCATGGTGAGGGAAGGTGATGGCATTATGGGAGTCTCTGGCTGTGATGCATCATGGGAGATGTAGTCCTTCTGTGATGCATGGCTTATAGAGGAAAATGGGGCACCAAATTGCAGCATCGCAGAAGCATGCCAGCAATATTTCCAAATAAAAAACATCAAAAATTTCCACAGGAATTGAAAAGCTCTGTTTTGTTGAAACCCTGATTGTCCATTAAAACAGTTTCTATCCATCCATATTAATGATGCCCCTGGCTAGCTCGTCTGCAGGGATAAGATCCAGGACCCAAAGTGTAAAACCAGGAGCCTTTCCTCTCTAAATGAAAGGATCCGGCTCCATGCACCTGTAGATTTGTGCATGCAGCTGGGCAGGAACTAGAATCTTCTGCGAGACATTCTGTGATTTTGAAATTTATTTTCATTCCAAACCAAAAACAAACAAAAAAATTTAAAAATTAAAAAATAAAAAAAAAAAAAAAAAAAAACAACTTCTGATCAATGAAAATGTTTAATGTTGATACAATTGAGGTGTTTAGTTCCAATTTTTAATTTGTAAAGAATTTAAATAAATGAAATAAGGTTGTAAAATAGCAAAACAAATTGTCATTTCAAAATGAAAATTGAAATGTTCCCTTCTGATCATGTCAATTTCTTTCCAAACAAAATTTCGTTGAAATTGGCATGTTCCTTGTGAAAGGTCTCTATTTCGACAAAATGGCATTTTCTGATGAAAAAGCTGTTCAATTGGAAATTTTCCAACTAGCTGTACCCCTGAGCTTCTATCCTCTGGTGTAGCTGTTGGGTAAGGACCCTGTGCTAGTGTGGCATGCACTAGATATGCCAATTTTCTTGGGGAAAATCGATAGATGACATCTCTGATAACACAACACATGGGATAATATTGCTGCTACTGGATGTGGAATGGAAGTGGACCATGGATGGTGAATATGAAGAACTGAAAAGACTATTGTCCTATGCGTCTCAGCTACAATATTCTGCCTTTTTGTGCAAAATTTGCAAGATGGGCTAGGGGCAAAGACTGCAGCTGGGGATATGTATCATTAGCATCCAGAGTCTTCACAAACACAGTCTCCAAACACACACCACTTCAGAAGGAAAGTCTGAGAAATCTGACTTCGTCTTGAAGCTTCTCCCAGCTGTGTCTATGGATCATTCACAATCGAAATAATCTATTTCAAAGCTGAGTGCCATCTCAGATCCCAGCGCTCATGCTTCAGAATTATGACTCTGCCATTGAATTCGCATCAGGAAGTCAAATCATTGTGGGATGATGCTTTTTCCAAGATCTAACCGAGACCCGTCAAGGCCAGGCTCCAGAAATCAACTCCAAGGTTGACTTCCACATCAACCTACTCAGATGGTGTGTCATCTCACATGTGGGACATGTGATCAAGTGCAACTGCAGAGATACTGGAGTCCATGATGCATGCTCTACATTCTGGATGGAAACCACATTTCATGCCTAAACACTATGCCGTATAAGCCTGCAGTGGTGGATAATGTTCTCCTCAAAGGGAAGCGTGTTAAGCTTCCATTCATCCTCAGGGGGAAAAAACAGGATCTTAAATTTCATTCATGAAGGACACATAGGCATGGGAAATTGCCCAAGGAAGGAGCAAATCTAAGCCAATGGTGAGTATATGTTATAGACTCCCAATCCACAAATGTTCTGAGCATGTTAGACTGGTTCCTCATCAACTAGGAGAAATTGGTAGCAACTCTCGAGGTGGAAGGCAGTTTGGGGAGAAGACATCAGGAAAAGATAAATTTCATGACACTAAAGAAAGGAAGGAGAGAGGGCAGCAGAATAAGGAGAATGGACTTTAACAAGCTCAGTGAACTGGTAGGTAAGATCCCATGGGAAGAAAATCTAAGGGAAAAAGGAGTTCAGGAGAATTTGCAAGGAGACAATATTATAAGCACAATTTCAAAACTATCCCAATGAGCAGGAAAGATAGGAAGCATAGGAAGGGGCCAATCAAGCTCCATCAGGAGCAATGTAATGACCTGAAAATCAGAAAGGAGTTCTACAAAAAATTGGAAATATCGACAAATTGCTAAGGAGGAGAACAAAAGAATAGCGCAAGTATGTAGGGACAAAATTGGCATATCCAAGGCCAGGTCTACACTACCGCGGTAGTTCGACGGCTGGCAATCGAACTTCCGCGTTCGATTTATCGCGTCTGGTCTGGACGCGATAAGTCGAACCAGGAAGTGCTCGCCGTCGACTGCGGTACTCCACCTCAGCGAGAGGAGTACCACGGAGTCGACGGGGGAGCCTGCCTGCCGCGTGTGGACCGCGTCTGAACCGCGGTAAATTCGAACTAAGGTATGTCGACTTCAGCTACGTTATTCACGTAGCTGAAGTTGCATACCTTAGATCGAATTGGGGTGTTAGTGTAGACCAGGCCTAAGGCACAAAATGAGTTAGCAACGGATATAAAAAGCAATAAGAAGAGATTCTTTAAATACATTGGGAGCAAGAGAAAGACGAAGGAAAGTGGAGGTCCTCTACTTAGCAGGGAAGGAGAGCTAATAACTCATGATATCAAGAAAACTGAGCTGTTTAATGCCTATTTTGCTTCAGTCTTCACTAAAAAGGTTAATGGAGACGAGATACTCAACACAATTAATATTATCAATCAGGAGGAAAGAACTCCAGCCAAAACAAGGAAAGAACAGGTTAAAGAATATTTAGCTAAGTTAGGTGTATTCAAGTCTGCAGGACCTGATGAAATTCACCCTAGGATCCTTAAGGAATTAGCTGAAGCAATCTCAGAATGATTAGCAATGATCTTTGAGCACTCCTCAGGTGTGGTCCCAGGAGACTGGAGAAGGGCAAACATAGCACCTCTCTTTAAAAAGGGGAACAAAGAGGACCCGGGGAATTCCAGACCAGGCTGCCTAACTTTGATACCTGAAAAGATATTGCAACAAATTATTAAACAATCAATTTGTAAGCCCCTGGAGGACAATAGGGCTATAAGGAATAGCTAGCATGGATTTGTCAAGAACGAATTGTGCCCAACCAACCTAATTTCCTTCTTTGACAGGGTTACTGGCCTATTAGATGCGAGAAAGTAGTGGATGAGCTATATCTTTATTTTAGAAGGGCTTTTGACACAGTCCCCCATGACATTCTCATAAGCAAACTAGGAAAAGGTGGTCTAGGTAAAATTACTAGAAGGTGGGTGCACAACTGGTTGAAAGAACCGTACTCAAAGAGTAGTTATCAATGGTTCACTGTCAAACTGGGTGGGTGTATCTAGCCATGTCCTACAGGGCTCAGTCCTGGGTCCGGTACTAATCAATATTTTAATTAATGATTTGGATAATGGAGTGGAGAGTACGCTGATAAATTTATGGGTGATACCAAGCCGGGAGGGGTTGCAAGCACTTTGGAGGACAGGATTAGACTTCAAAACGACCTTGACATATTGGAGAATTGGTCTGAAATTCTGTAAAGACAACTGCAAAGTACTTCACTTCAGAAGGAAAAATCAAATGCGCAACTACAAAACGGGGAATAACTGGCTAGGTGGCCGCACTACTGAAAAGGATCTGCGGGTGATAGTGGATCACACATGGAATATGAGTCAGCAGTGTGATGCAGCTACGAAAAAGCCCAATATCATTCTGGGCATTCTGGGATGCATTAACAGGAGTGCCCTATGAAAGACATGGGAAGTAATTGTTCCGCTCTACTCAGCACTGGTGAGGCCCCAGTTGGAGAAATGTGTCCACTTCTGGGCAACCACACTTTAGTAAAGATGTGGACAAATTGGAGAGAGTCCAGAGGAGAGCAACAATGATGTCCAAAGGTTTAGAAAACCTGACCTGCAAGGAAAGGTATAACTGGGCATGTTTAGTCCTGAGAAAGGAAGACTGAGGTCAGACCTAAGAACAGTCTTCACACATGTGAAGGGCTGTTATAAAGAGGCCGGTGATCAATTGCTTTCCATGTCCACTGAAGGTAGGACAAGAAGCAATGGGCTTAATCTGCAGCAAGGCAGATTTAGGGTAGTGTGACAAAGTTCCTCCTCTATCTTGGTGGGTCCTGCGCTTATTGGCGGATTTTCTTGCCGCAGAGATTCACCATGTGGGTTGGGGAACAGCCCAGAGACCTTCCCCTCTGGGAGAACCCACAGTCCAGGTCAATTGGGAGGTTTGGGGGGAACCTGGGCCCGCCCTCTACTCCAGATTCCAGCCCAGGGCCCTGTGGACTGCAGCTGTCTATAGTGCCTCCTGTAACAGCTGCATGACAGCTACAACTCCCTGGGCTACTTCCCCATGGCCTCCTCCAAACACCTTCCTTATTCTCACCACAGGACCTGCCTCCTGGTGTCTAATAACGCTTGTGCTCCTCAGTCCTCCAGCAGCACACCCTCTCCCTCTCAGCTCCTTGCGCCTCTTGCTCCCAGCTCCTCACACTCCCACCACAAACTGAAGTGAGCTCCTTTTTAAAACCCAGGTGCCCTGATTAGCCTGCCTTAATTGATTCTAGCAGTTTCTTCTTAATTGGCTCCAGGTGTCCTAATTAGCCTGCCTGCCTTAACTAGTTCTAGCAGGTTCCTGATTACTCTAATGCAGCCCCTTCTCTGGTCACTCAGGGAACAGAAAACTACTCATCCAGTGACCAGTATATTTGCCCTCTACCAGACTCCTGTACCCCACTGGTCTGGGTCTGTCACAGTAGATATTAGGAAAAACTTCCTAACTCTCAGGATAGTTAAGCTCTGGAATCGGCTTCCAAGGAATCCCCGTCACTGGAAGTTTTTAAGACCAGGTTGGGCAAACACCTGTCAGGGATGGTCTAGGTATTTTGGGGGGTTCTGCCTCAGGGGGCTGGACTCGACGACCTCTGGAGATCCCTTCCAGTCCCATATATCTATGACACGATGATTTTGTCAAAACCAAAAGGTTCTGATCAACCTGAAATGGGTTTTTTCCCCCCCAGAATTTGTTTCGTGGGAAATATTGGGGGCACATTTGGCCCCTGTCCCTGGCAGCCGAGCCCGGAGTCTGGACCGGGAGCAGGACAGAAGGTGGCTGCTCAGGGTCTCTGCTCTGTGCAGTGTGGTGGCTGGCTGAGGAGGCGGTGGCTTCCTCTCCCTGCCTGGACCAGGCTGCCGGGGACAGGGGCCGAGCAAGCCGGAAATGTGCCGGGGGAAGAGGGGGCTCCGCTCACTCAGCCTCTGTCCCCGACAGCCAGGCCCAGGTGGGGAGTGGAAGCCACCACCTCCTCTGCCTGACTCTCTCTCAGGCAGCCGCTGCGCTGCACAGAGCAGCGACCCGGAGCAGCTGGCACAAGCCACAGCTGGTCCTGCCCCTTCTGCTCCCCCCCTGGGATCGGGGCTGAGCATGCCGGGGGCAGGCATCGGAGAAGGACAGAGCCTCCCTCCCTCCTGGCAGGCCAAGCAGAAATCTGGGGGAGGGGCACTTGACCTTGCATGCTCCCCTACGTGTTGCCTATGAATACAACCCTATCACTACTGCACATACCTTGCCGGGTACAACCTCGGATCGCCTTGGGCTTTGGCATGACCGCGTGCGAGTGGCAGCTCATGGTCATCCTGCCATGGGCCAATCCATATGGACACGGCTGCTGCCCGCCCCGCCCCCTGCCCTGCTTCCACCTGCTGTTTGCCACTCTCCATTGCAGACTCAGACTCAGAGGAAGAACGGATCATTGGGGGGAGAGACTGCCGCATTGGCTCCCGGCCCTACCAGGTGGCTCTCCTGAGGAACGGCCGCATCTACTGTGGCGGGAGCCTGATAGACCCCAAGTGGGTGCTAACTGCTGCGCACTGCCGCTCAGGGATCGGGTAAGTCAGTGCGAGGGTGGAGGGAGAGAGGGAGATGCATGGGAGTAACCCACGTCCCCAGTCCTTATCTTCTCCCGTGGTGTCCCCCATCCGTACCCAGGTCTCCCTCTGCACCTTCTAAATCCCAGCCCCATCCTCCTCCATTTTTTTCCAGCCCTCAAATCATTGTTGTGGCCCTTTTCTGCACCCTCTGCAGTTTTCCAGCATCCTTGTACAGAAGTGCCCACCTCATACAGGACGCAGCACGCCAGCATCGCTCTCTGCAGCGGTGTGTGCAGAGGGAAACTCGCCCCCAGGCTCACCAGCATTACCCCTTGTAGCATCCCACGGGTGGCTCATGTGCGGGTGCTCTAGGAGCTGGATGGAATGGAGCGGAGCCAGGGGTGAAAGTAACTTACAGGACTTACTGGTACTGCCGGAGTCCTGAGGGGGCGTGGCCTCATCCGGAAGAGGCGGGGCCTCAATCGGAAGAGGCGGGGCCTCTCAAGATTTAAAGGCCCTGGTGCACCAGCTGTGGCTGGGAGCCCCAGGGCCTTTAAATCAACCTGGGGCTCAGGGGCAAATTAAAGGGCTCCAGGCCCTTTAAATCCTGGCCCCAGCCCGGGTGCCGAGCTGCGGGTGGGATTTAAAGGGCTCTGGGCTCCCCGCCGCGGAAGCCAGTCTGGTCCAGCACAGCGTACTGGCTCTTGCCGGTTCGCCGGACCGGACCGGACCGGCTTACTTTCACCTCCGGGAAATATTTTCCCTTGACTCCAGTCTGATGCTCTTGGTTCTCAGACGGAGGGTCTGCAGCCCCCTACTGGTTTCACGGGGTCTGTGGGGCCCTGTGGCTGAAGCCTGGAGCCCTGAGCCCTCGTGCATCCCGTGGGGCTGAAGCCCTGAACCCTGGCGCATCCTGCAGGGCTAAAGCCCCAAGTCCCCCTCTGACAACCCCCACCCCCCCGCGTGCAAACTGGAACTGGGGTACCGCTGAGTCCTCTCTTTTACCAATCTGGGTTCCCTCTCACACTGTGATGTGACAAGCTGCCCTCCAAGCTTGCCCTCCCACCAACATCCACAGGCAGGGCTCACACCCATGCTTCTCTGAGTCATAACAGGGGCCATGAGCCCTAGAATGTCCTCAGAAAAGTCCATCAAGTGTGGATAGGCTTCTTCCCTGGTCCAATGTGAGTTAAGCATTCTTTGATGGGCCATTCAACTTGAATAGTTCCTTCACAATGTGCTGGCCAAACTAGAAGCAAACTGCCTTGAGGGTGTTACCCCAGGAGCAAACACATTTGAAATACAGATACATAGTCAATATTCATAACTCCAGATACAAAAATGTTACATGCCTACAAACAGGATAATCATATTTAGCAAAGCATACATAGCAAAGCAAAGCAGACATTTTCCATTGACACCTCACATGACGGGTTGTACAGGATGCACCATAATTATGTCATACCACTATGATGAATATGGGGTGCAGAGTGTCACAACCCCCACCCTGCAGCTGAAGCCCGCAGCCCTGAATGGAGGGGGGCTGTGGAGGGCTCCAGGAAATACTCGATGAGAATTTAAACCCTGGAATGAAAGCCTGGCATTCCGCAGAAGGGGAGTGCCCAAAAAATTGAAAGCAATTCAGGCTGTCTTTTTATATCTCTGTAATTACTGCAAATCCTGCAGATAGATCTGTCCTTCCCCTCCCCTCCTTTTCTCCCAACTCTCTTTGGGTACATCTACACTTACCGGAGGGTCCGGCGGCAGGCAATTGATTTTCTGGGATCGACTTATCGCGTCTAGTGAAGACGCGATAAAATCGATCCCTGATCGCTCTGCCGTTGACTCCGGAAATCCACCGCGGCAAGAGGCGGTAGCGGAGTCGACGGCAGCGCGGCAACGGTCGACTTTCCCCCGTCCTCACAGCCAGGTAAGTCGACCTAAAATACGCAACTTCAGCTACGGTATTCACGTAGCTGAAGTTGCGTATCTTAGGTCGGACCCCTGCTGTAGTGTAGACCTAGCCTTTGTGTGTTAGGATGAAGCTGGTATATTTGTTGTATTTGGAAAACTAATTAAAACGTATAAATAATACCTTAAAAATCGCAATATCTCATGTCTACATTTTCAAAACATTTCGATTTTCAATTTGAGATTTTTTCTTTCAACCATGTCTCGTGATGATCGAAATGAACTTTTCTCCCCTGACTTTTTGATTCACTGGAAAATTCAAAACTCTTTGACCCAGATTTACTCTTTGTGGTTCTCACTGCTCCCGCACGTTGGTTTAACTTGGCACGAGCGAGCCGCAGTAATCCAGGACAAGGCAAAAATAAAAATAACCGTGTTAAGTGCGTCCCAAAAGTAGGATGAGCAGATAGCAAGTGTGAAAAACCAGGAAACTTTTGCTCAGGGAGGGAGGTAGAGTTGCACAAACCTTTTATATTGGGACGATCTCGATATTATTGGAACAACTGGTCACCCCACTCAAAAGCCAAGGACAAGGAATTCACGATCTTTGGTGAAAACTGCAGCTTTGATAACATCAAAATGTCCCAGAAATTCAGAACGATTTTACCAAATTGTTCATTTCAGCTGTGTAAAACCAGGTGCAAGAAATAGTAGTGTCAGCAGCAATGGCTAAAAATGTGTGGAAGGAGACTATTCAGACAGGGAGAAAACTAACAAAATATACTGTGTACATATGGCATGAGAACAAAGTATGATATGTACAGGAAATGGGCCTGAAAATAACTGGACCAACCATAAAGTGCATGATTTCATGTAAAATGGAGGATGCATGCATCAGAATAGGGTTAAATTTGTATATAAAGTAACCAATACTTGTATTCTTCGGATCTGTGTAAGTGCCCTGTACCCACCCCTTACACATGGCTCTGATCAGCTCTGAGGAGTCTAAGTGTATGCCAAGAAAAACACGAGATTGGAGTGAAACTGAGTTCTTGGTGAACCAAGTTGATGAGATCTCGGAGACTACCCCAACACTGAAAAATCCATTATTGGCCTAATTCTAGTTGCTTGCCAGATACGACCTTTGAATAGCCGCCCATTGATCTCTTCCTTTGTCCTCTCTCATGCAGCTCCCTGCAGGTGCATCTGGGGGATTATAATCTACGGGCGAAGGAAGGCACAGAACAGATACGAAGAATCCGCAAATTCTTTGTGCATCCAGGGTATAACCGCCGCCGTTATGACAATGACTTCATGCTTCTGGAGTTGGATGCACCAGCTCAACTCAACAGCTACGTGAACACAATCAACCTGGCTACCAGTTGTCCCTCTCCTGGAACACCATGCATCGTGTCAGGATGGGGCACTATCAGTTCCCCCCGAAGTATGGCATGCTGGGGTGTAGAGGGAGGGGTTGAGGCTGGGCTCAGCTTGGTGAGGGGGTGGAAGCTCTTTAAGCAGACCTCGTTAACAGGCTGTCAAGGGTTCTTGGCTTCTCCTTGGAGAAATTTTTCAACAGAAATGATTTGTAGTGAAAAACGCAGCTTTGACAACACCAAAGTGTCCCACAAATTCGGGGCGATTTCATTCATTTCAGAAAAAAATATTCTGAAAATAGTCAAAACTTTGCATTTGAAAACACTGGGACACAATGGCTTGATTTTTTTTTTTTCTATTCAGAATGTTTCCTTTTGAAATTTCCTTTCCTTTTGTTTTCAAAACAATTTAAAAACGTTACAGACGTGCTTCAAATCACAATGAAATATTAAAATATCACATAAAATACTGGATTTAAATGAAAGGATTTGTTTGACCTGAAATGAGGATTTTTTTCTGGCTCTTCTGTTCATCAGAAATTTCCCTTTTTGGAAAAGGAATGCGGCCAGATCCCAGCTGGGGTCAATCGGCCGTAGCTCCATTAGAGTCAATGGGGCCAGATCCCAGCTAGGGTCAATCGGCCGTAGCTCCATTGGAGTCAATGGGGCCAGATCCCAGCTGGGGTCAATCGGCCGTAGCTCCATTGGAGTCAATGGGGCCAGATCCCAGGGGGGTCAATTGGATGTAGTTCCATTGGTGTCAGTGGATCTATGCCAGTTTACACCAGTTGAGGGTCTTACACCAAGTTTTCTTCTCTTGCACCTTGTTCCCTACTCATGAACTCCTGTTTTTCTGTCATTGCCCAGGGCTGTTCCCAAACATCATGCGGTGTGCAGATGTCTATAGCGTCAGCCAGGACAGGTGCCAGGGCAGTTACGGGAGCATAATCACGGAGAACATGTTCTGCGCTGGCATGGAAAAGGGTGGCATAGACTCATGCCAGGTAAGGGGGCATCCTGGAGAGCGGGGTAGGTGCCGGGTGTCGGAGCTCACACAGCTCAATACTCTTTATCCCCTACGACCTGCAAACGCTTCTCAGCCTGCTACTGAGGGGCCGTCGTCAGTCAGCCCCTGGCCACAGTCAGCCTTCATGCCCCGTGGAAGACCAGCCGATCTGCCCTCCGGCCGCACCAAGCCCTAAGGGCTGGGCTTCATCCAGCTCCTGGGCCTGTCTGATCCCCAGCGCAGGTGTAGGAAGCTCAGACCACCTGAAACCATTTCTGCTCTTTAAACACTTCCTGTGTCCGTGTGTGTCCCTGCCGCCCCCTGCTGGAGGGGGTGAGCCCTGCTCTGTGTGTGTGTGTGTGTGTGGGCGCTGGGGGCATGGCTATGTTTTACTGATGGCTCCACGTTGTCTCCGCAGGGTGATTCAGGAGGCCCACTGGTCTGCAATGGGCAGCTGCAGGGCGTGGTCTCCTGGGGGATGTCCGTTTGTGCCCTGCCGGGACGGCCCGGCGTCTACGCCAATGTCTGCAAAGCTGCCCAGTGGGTGAGAAGCACCATAGGGAGGAAGTGCATCGGATCAGACTGAGAGCTCACAGCGCGTCACGCCTGCCACAATAACCCACCAAACACACGCCCCAGCCACGCCTCTCCTCATCTCGCCGCGGCATCCTGGGGGTGCTGATCTGCGTGGGACTAGGATGGGGGCACTGCGGTGGGGCCAGCCCAAAGCAGCCAGTGGTTATGAGCCAGGCCTGACAAAATCCTGAGACTAGGTTAAAAATGTGGGACTGGTTTAAAAATCATGAATCAGCCTAAAGATTGTGAGATTGCTTTAAAATCATGAGATCAGCGTTAAATTCATGAGATTGCTTTAAAAAAATCACGAAATTGGCTTAAAAGTCATGAATCAGCCTGAAGTCCACAGGATTGCTTCAAAAATCGAGATGCTGAGTTTAAAAATCAGGAGTTTTGGTTTAGAATCATGGGATTAGCTTGAAAGCCACGAGACTGCTGTAAAAATCGTGAGATCAGCCCAACGACTGTGAGATGGGTTTAAAAATCATGAGATTGGATTAAAAATTATGAGACGGGTTTTAAAATGCCACAAATAGCGCACAGGTCTTTGCTCTGGTCTCTTGCATTAGTACGGGTGGCGTAAGCGGCTATAACTGCTCTGAAGTCACCAAGTCTGACGTCTCATGGAGTTCAAACTTTGTCATACGGTGCTACAGGAACATAGCTACAGCGCCTGTGGCGTAGACAAGTCCCAGGAGTTCATGTTCAGCTGATTATCCACCACCAAAATCTTTCTGAGCGTCACTACTTCTATGGAGAGGGTCCCCCATCCTCCAAGACTGGCGGACATTCTTTGGTCCGAGATTGATGCATTTACATGTAGCCATTTACATCCCCATGAGACTCAGCGTAAAACTGTGAGGCTTGGCAGTGGTGAGACTCAGTGACCCAAATCTCACAGGATTTTATGGCACGTCTCATGAGGGTGGGTTTGTTTGTTTCTTAAAGTCTTGAGCTCCTGGAGTCATGTGACTCTGAGAATCTGAGCTTTTGTTGGCAGAAATCATTTTCTAGACCTAGGCTTTGGGGAAACCGACCCTTAGAGGCTCTAAAAACAGTGAACAAACAAACCCTAGTGGTTTGGTTTGGTTTTTCACATCTTGTGATTTTTTTAAGCCAATCTCACAATTTTGAGTGGGCCCGGACTTGCCAATTTTGAACTCTTGGGGGTAAGAGATACTAGCAACAAGGGGTGGGAAAAGCACTGACTGATCCTAGAGAAGAAGCTGTGATAGAGGAGAGATTGACAAAGGGTGAGGCAGTTTATGCTCAGAAAATAAGGCTCCCAGTCCATGTTGAAATGTTCCGTTTCTATAATGAAAGCATGTCATTTCTATAATCCTGCACCTTGGCAGGGGGTTAGACTGGATGTCCCTTGCGGTCCCTTCTAAGCCTCCGCTTCTATTATTCTGTGATAATGTTAAAAACTTTTAACGCCAAGTATGTACACAAGAGAAGCACCCAAAAGAGGACAGGTATTTAGCACTTTCTAGCACACTCAGCAGAAGAGGGCCCAGGGAACAAACCAGAATCTTTAGCCTGGTTCTCTGAACATTAATTTGATCCTGGATAAGTAACGTGCGATGTACTCTGTTAAAGTTCTATTGTAACTTTGCCTTAATAAAACGTTTCAGGAAAGCAAAAACAAATGTTTCATGTCAACATTGTGATTTTGAGTCATTGAGTTTTGCCTTTTTATTACATTAAAATATGAAATCTAAAATCCTGGGGAAAACTTTTTAACTCTAAGCAGAGTTTAGCACTGGAATAGGTTCCCTGGGATGGTGGTGAAATCTTCATTGTTGGAGGTGTTTAAGAACAGGTTAGACATTCATCTATCAGGGATGGTCTAAAACTGTTCAGGAAGGACAGGCAGGGCAGAAAAGGTGGGGGAGTTGCATTGTATGTAAGAGAGGAGTATGACTGCTCAGAGCTCCGGTATGAAACTGCAGAAAAACCTGAGAGTCTCTGGATAAAGTTGAGAAGTGTGAGCAACAAGGGTGATGTCGTGGTCGGAGTCTGCTATAGACCACCAGTCCAGGGGGATGAGGTGGACGAGGCTTTCTTCCAGCAACTAACAGAAGTTACTAGATCGCAGGCTCTGGTTCTCATGGGAGACTTTAATCACCCTGATATCTGCTGGGAGAGCAATACAGCGGTGCACAGACAATCCAGGAAGTTTTTGGAAAGTGTAGGGGACAATTTCCTGGTGCAATTGCTGGAGGAACCAACTAGGGGCAGAGCTTTTCTTGACCTGCTGCTCACAAACAGGGAAGAATTAGTAGGGGAAGCAAAAGTGGATGGGAACCTGGGAGGCAGTGACCATGAGATGGTCGAGTTCAGGATCCTGACACAAGGAAGAAAGGAGAGCAGCAGAATACGGACCCTGGACTTCAGAAAAGCAGACTTTGACTCCCTCAGGGAACTGATGGGCAGGATCCCCTGGGAGAATAACATGAAGGGCAAAAACAACAAGTCCTTCTCCATTTCAGGCGCTGGAGGGCTTGGGTTTCCCATAACTCCTCAACGGCAGAGCAGGTGGACGAAGAGACATTTTCTCTCAATGTCTGTGAGGCAGATGAAGGGTACAGCATGATAGCAATTTCCTATCACCTTGTTTTCCTGGCGTTTGGATGAAGACACTCATCCTGCCAAGCACCATCTGGATCCTGGTGTGCAATGGCATCTCCACGCAGGGGCATTGGAACAGGCGGGGTCAAGGGGTCATGGCCCTCCCATTTTTTACTGGCCATAAGGGCGAGTGACGGGGGGAGGAGGTGGAGAGGAGCGAGTGGGGGGGCGGGGTTTTGGGGAGAAGAGGTGGTGTGAGGATGGGGCCTCAGGGGGAAGGAGCAGTGCGAGGATGACGGCTCAGGGGGAGAGGTAGTGTGGGGGCGGGGCTCAGAGGAAAGGGTGGTGTCACGGTGGGACCATGGTTCAGGTGCCAGTGGCCTTCCCCCCCCCCACAACTTTTTGGGAGCTTCCGTCGCCCCTGTCTCTATATTCAAAGAAATCACACACTGGTGTCTTCCATACTCACATCAATATCCAGATGCAGATTAAGGTCTCCTGGGGCCTTGGGCTGGAGCAAGTGGGGGGGCCCCGGGTCCAGAAAGTTGTCCCCACCGCACCTCTTCTGCCTGTGGTTCCGTCCTTTCTGCCTATGGCCCCGCCCATGGTCCCACCCTCTTCTGCCCTGTCCCATGTCTGCCCCGCCCCCCTCTTGCTGATTTCCACCACACGCACACACCACTGCAGTCCTGAGACTGGAGAAGCTTTGTGTCCTGTGGCCACAGCAGGGAGCGAGAGCTCCTCCAGCCTCCAGGCTGCAGCTGGGGTAGGGGGGAATTTTCAGGTGCCACAAATTGGCCCGGGCCTCTGGGCATGGGCCATGTTGGCCCGTGCAGAAATCCGCCACTGTCCATGTCCAAGTCCTGTGGCGACAGGAGTGGGACAGCGATGATTGGAAGCTCCTAGTCACCAACCAGCACTCAGCTTATACACTACCCCGGTGAAATGGGCTAACAAAAGGATCTGAGTCCTTGCTCCCACTCCCTTTACCCAGAGGCCTGCCCGACCTCGAGGGCTCCCCTTCCACTCTCCTGTGTGGCAGAGTCCTCGTAACCCCAACAAGGCTGGGCCCACGATTCCTGGGGGGCTCGACCCCCAACCTTGCTGTGGTCACGTAGGGCAGGGGCTAGGGTGACCCACTCCGGGGTGCTCAATCCACATTGGATGCTTCCTTGACCCACTGATCATTTCATACAGTTCAAAGCAAATGCAGTTTATTAAACAGCAACAAATTAAAAAAATTAGGGGAAAAATGGGAAGGTGAAAGGAAAACCCGTCACCCCGCTCTGTGGCACGGGGACATCACAACCAGCGTCTCTGGGATGTAAGTGTAACTTTAGCGCCTTCGTGGCCGAGATGGAGTCTGGTCTGCAGGCAGCTCTGGCCAAGAGACGGCGCGCGCAGGAATGCAGCAGGAGAAATCCCTTCCACCCCAGGAGCACCTGTTCCAAACCCCCCAGAGTGAACACACCCCCCCACAGGAAAAGTACAGGGGATATAACAAGGGAAATATTTATTTACAGAGGGATGAGAGGAGAGAAACAACTAGGGGGAGCAGTAGAACAGGGTTGCATCCAAGCCGAGGCCCCACAGGCCCAGTGGTAGCAGAGTCCGACAGGGCAGACCCTGAGCAATGTGTCTGCACACAGAGTTCAGGGGTCCTGAGCAAAGTGCCAGTCCAGTGATGAGTCTTGGGTGCTCTTGGTCGTCTTCGGCGCCAGTGAACTTTCCCCCAACAAACCCCTCCGGTGCCCTCTTCTGCCGCTCTCTGCAAAGACACACAGAGCGACCACCTCCACACTTAACCAGCTACAGCCTCCCTCCTTGTCCCCAATGCAGAGTCACTAGCCCCTGTTCTCACAGCCCCATGCAGCTCTGGGCAGCCGTGATACTGGGTCCAGCTCCGGCCTGTCCTTCTCGGGCGATTCCTCCCTGGCTCTGTGCTCCTCCTGGCTCCTGTCCTGGGGTGTCCCCGATCGGCCCTGTCCTTCCCAGGCTCCAGGCAGGTTCTCTCTGCTTCACTTTTCCAGGGCCTGCCGGCTGCCTCCCCCTCTCCCTGGAGCTCCAGCGCTGCCCCCTGGAGTTTCCCTCCTTTTTTCTTACTCTCCCGCTCTCCCTTAGGAAAAAGATTTAAAGGGCCATGCTCTCTAAACCCCAAAGGGGTTACATAAGGAAAGGTCACAGCCTGTTCCTCACACGTCCCAGGCCCCCTGCCCAGGCCCTGGGTGTGCAGATGCCGCAGTCGGACACTGGCTCTGGCGGTGGCCACATGCCCTCAGGCTTTAGGTGGTAGGACCCTTCTTCCCAGTGTCAGCCCCCACCTGTCAGGGTTACGATCCCCCTCCCAGTCTGACCTGCAAGGCCCCTTGGCTGGGGGTGTCTCCCTGCGCTGGGCCCGCTGCCCAAGGTCCCTCTCGCTCTCCCCAGCTGCTCACCGCACCTGGCTCCGGACGGCTCCAGCCCCAGCTCCAGATCCACAATACCTCAGTTCAACTCGGCCTCAGCACGGCTCTGCTCCCCAGCTCAGCTTGGGCCCCTGCTCTCCCCTTAGCTCTGCCCCCCTCTGTCTGACCCAGGCAATTCCAGCTCACAGGGAGGATGGGACCCTCCTGGCCTCTTGACTCCCTCATTGGCCTGCCCGCCCTGCTGACCTGGAGCATTGG